TTCAGTTTTAAAAATCTGTGTCTATCCATTATAACAGATAATGAGACTGCTGAGTTTAGAGGTGTCTCAGACAAAAACGTGGTGTTCATTACAGAACCTCTGGAATCTCTCGTCTTAGTTTTGACGGCTGTCTTGCTTTTGTCCTTGTGTTCCCTCGTGCCCTTGTCACAGTCGCTTTGTACTACGTCCAGATCCTTTCTCGGGCTTGCTTCATCTTTAAGGGGTAAGGAAGCAGCTCATGAGGGCGGGCAGAAGGTCTTTCTATGGGGGTGAGGATTACAGTCCCTTCGTGTAGGACTGTACTGTGAAGACGTGTAGAATGGACACGATCAGTGCTCTTTCTTCTTTGGGCTGCACAAGGCAGAGAGAGTGCCAGTCTGCTCTGCTAGAAACCTTGAGAGCGTTCTGGTTAGTACTCTTGCCGTTCTCCCTGGTCCAGAGCACCCACGTGAGGTAGACCGTTAGGGTTTTACATAACAACATATACTGTAGTCTTTTGTGTGTGTTAAGTATTTGACTAAAGTTACCAAAGGGAGAACAAAATCCTAGGCAGAAGGTCTTTCTTAGTTAAGAATGTTGTAAATTATATATGTCCCTGCATTTTTAACATATTACTGCCAAGTTCTATTATTATAGGATATGTTTAAGTGGATTTAGCATGGTAATTGATTGCTTTATCAGTATTTATTATAATGTAAGCACTTACACATTCATTTTTTGAATTGCTCCAGAAATCTGGCTTTATTTCTGATTCCTCTGTCTTGCTCAGACTCACAGGCGTCTGCACTTTTGGGGATGTACATACACATTGTCAGCATATAACTACCTCAGCAGCTCTGCTGTTACTTTTCTTGTTCAGGTTGCCATCAATTTTTACCTCAGTGATGACAATAAATTCCGTATTGATATTTGTTTCTGACCCTTTCTCCCTTTAGTCTACTTTCAATTCAGTACTCACTGCGCTCTTTCTAAAATGAAAATCCCATCTTGCTTTGCCAAATGTCTTTACCTACAAGACCCATAGGACTAGGCTGGGTCTCCTGTTTCTCGTTTGACATCATCACTTGTCTTGTTTTGCAGGCCGGCCTCAGACATGCCGGAGTGCTTCCTCATGAGCCCGTGTGACTTTCAGTGCTTATTTTCAGATCCACGTACCTTATGCCTCACGCCATCATCTCTTTTAGAGTTTTATTCAGGTTTTACTCCCTGTAGGAGGTGTAGCGACCGTGTTACTTAAAACTGCCACTCCTTAACATTTCCTAACCATTCTATTTTTCTAAAGTACTTCTCACCTTCTAGCACTGCATATTTTACTGACTAATATTGCCTATTTTCTCTTACCGCCATTGTAATGATTCTTCTCATACGTAGGGATTTTTGTCTGGTTGTTCTTTGTTTTATCTGCAGTACCTAGAACAATACCTCATCATTTGTTTGTTTTTGTTTTTTGTTTTTCTCCGGTACCGGGAACCGAACTCACGACCTTGCGCTGGCCAGGCAGACGCTTTGCCGCTGAGCTAAATCCCCAGCCCCCAACAATACCTCATCATAGTGCATGCTTATTACATATTTGTTGAATGAATAATTGAATGAACTGCCAGCCCTCACTGTTGCACGGTGCATTTTTTAAAAAATCCATCTATGTAGATATTAAATGTAATGGTTATTACTTCTATGATGGCTTTTTATTTAAAGTTTTATAGCAGGTGTATTAACAAGTAAATCTTTGTATGGTTCTCGTAGTCAGAGCATACAGTTCACTGATTTTGCAGTATATTCAGAGTTTCACAGTCATTAGCACCATCACTTTTACAATACTTTTCATCACCTCAAAAGAAACTACATAATTAGTAGGAGTCTTTCTATTTCTCCCTCCCTAATTTTCTCCAGTCCTGTGAAGCCACTGATCTGCATTTGTCTCTGCAGTACGCTTGCTTTGGTCATTCAGTACTGGATCATACACTGTGTGGTCTTTCATCACTGGCTTCTTCCACTGCATGTTTTCAAATTTCATCCACGTTGTAGCACTTACCAGTGCTTCATTCCTTTTTATGACCACATTTTTCTATTTAATGTCACATCTTAAATACTCTGTGTTCTAAGCCCTTTCCAAATACATGGTTTACAAATATTTTTATCCATTCTGTTGGTTGTCTTTCTGTTGTGTCTTTGAGGCACAAAAATTGCTAATTTTGATGAACTTGAGTTTATTTGGTTACTCATCATATATAAAAAAAAATGATTAATCCAATATCAAGATTTTCTCAGTTGACCTTGCTTTCACATTCCAGTGGGCTTGAGAGATGGCTTTAGGGTATGAATAAGAATTCGCAGTCATTTTGAAAATGACTCTTCTAAAAGTCTTTAGTTGTAGTTCTTAAATTCAGATTCACTTTGAGTTACCTTGTGTGTGACCTGTGAGAGGTGACCCATTTCATCCTTTTGCATGTGGATATTAAGCTGTTCCCACATTGTTTTATGCCTCACACCCCCCTGCAGCCCCTACCCAGTTGAAATGTGTGGACACCGTTTCCAGAATTTAATTGACTGTACATTTGAGGGTTTAATTCCATTTCATTCCTTATGATCATGTCTTTTCATTGCTGTCTGAAGTTTCTGAAGCAGATAGTTCTTCTGAGCTGCGTTCACCTTGTCTGGCTGTTCTTACTAGCTTGGAGTGCCACAGTGACAGAATTTCTGGAGGACTGAGCTGTTTACTTGGGAAAAGTTTTCCAAAAAAGACACATAGCATCTTATTCCCTGCTTAATGTGTTTTATTTGCCTTTGTGGAATTGTAAATGTCAGAGTATTTTCTCCAGCCTGCTTTCCCTGGCTTTGGTCTTCTTGGCTTCCCTTGAACTATTAGTTTTGAATTCCTATTTGCATCCTGAGGTCCTCTTTCAGGCACACTGGAGTCTGAGAGCGGGGTCGGCTCGTTTCACATGTGCATGGCATACAGTGTGCGCTGCGTGGACTCACAGCTGAAGTGCTGTTCTGATCCAATGCGGCCATTGTCCAGTAGCTCTCTGGCCAGGGGGTTGAGGGTAAGGGGTCAGCCGGCAGTCCTCCTGTGACTCACACGCCTCTTCACTTCAGGCTGCTCATCTCTCAGGCTGGACTCCTCGTCTGAGAAGCTGGAAGTTCTCTTGATACAGCAGTCATCTTGTGACTTAGATGTAAAGATGGACCGGGGTAACTAGAGCGCGGGTACTTCTGTTTAGATGTGTACCTTCTCAGTCCGTCGGCTGGGTAGAAGTGAGCTCCCATCTAAGTTTATATCCTCTTCAATTTTGAAAAACAGGTTTATCTTAATTATGAAAATATCTATACGTACTGAGGTATACAGTTGCTCTCAAAATACCACTTTCCTGTTAGTATAACAGTTATTATGCTCCACTTTTTTAAAGGTACATTTCCCTTGAAGCTGGGCATGGTGGCACGCACTGTAATCCTAGCACTTGGGACCTGAGGCAGGCAGATCGCCGTGAGTTCAAGGCCAGTCTGAACGACATAGTGAGACCCTGTCTCAAAAATAAATAAATGAATAAATAAACAAAAGATACATTTCAGTTAAATACTAAATTAATTTCCTTTGACGGAGTAACAGATTCCCTGCAAGACAGGTGAAAGGCCAGAACACAACGTGCGTGTGTCCTGGCGGTGTAGTAGAGGAATGCGCTGCCTTCCTCGTCAGCGTGTTGGCCCCTCGGGCGTGGTTCTTCAGCCAAGCATGTATGCGTGAAATCAGCTCTTTCTGTGATTGCCTTTAGGTCGTCTTCGAGGTTCTCCTCCCTGTCAGTAAATGAGTGGACTTGCGAAATCTGCTATCAGAAACTTTCATTCTTCCATTGATAGAATAATTAATGCTCAGTGCAAGCTTCCTGTGTGTGCTACACTGTAATTACTGCTCACAGTACAAAGGCGAGGAGACAGCGTCAGGCTTTGTCCAGGGACTGGGCATTATAAAAAAGATGTCGCTAATAACTAATGCGTTTATGTAACACGTTGTACTCTGAGAACATAGAGTAGTCGTCTGTTCATTAAGGCAAAGAAAACATGAATGCCTGCTATGTGCTGAAGGGGTTTGCCTGGTGAAGGTCAGGGAGTGACCGAGAGAAAGAGACATTCGCTTACGTAGCAGCCTCAGATGCACCTGGGTGATGCGTAGCAGAAACACCTTCCTGGCGAACAGAGTCTTGTACCAGGGCATCCAGAGGAGGGGCAGGGCGGCAAGACGAGAGCTTGAGAGCAAGGCAGGGCCAGGCACTCGAAGACCCTGTAGGCTGCATTGAGGGCTTTGTTTTCTCAAGGCGCTGAATTTTTTAAATTCAAAGTTATGTTTTATATGGATGAGGAACTAGGTCTCAGTTGGAGGCTGACTAGCTCTTACTCAGAAGTGTTGATGTCCATAGAGAACATCAAATTTTAAAAGTTTTGTTTTCTTTAGAGCAGTACCTTACCAGCTTAAGTATGTTGAAGGATAACCTAGAAGAATTTATAAAACAGATTTTGGAGGCCTCTCCAGAGACTCTGGAAGTCTAGATGAGTTCCGCATCTTCCAAGCTGTGAGGTGTTGGGATTTTGATTAGAAGTGAGAGGTGCAAAACTAACCTTTTGTGGGGTCATTGTTTCCTTTGTGTACGAACAGCAAAGAATCATTTTAGTCATAATAATAGCATGAAACACTATTGGAGCTGTGTGATGTAGAGACTGTTTGCAGAGCACAGTTACGTGTGTGTGTGCTCTTCGCTGGCAGGGAACGTAGTAGAAAGCAGCATCGAGAGATGGAAGCATGGAGAGCATCTCTGGGCCTCAGCTCCAGAACTCAGAACACAGCAGTGAGAGAGAGTCTGGGATGAACAAAGATTTGTGACACTTTTAGTACTGTTGAGATTCGTCACGTACAGCAGTACATTTTGAGATTCTGTGGTATTTGGTATTTTAACAAGAGCAGTAAGTCTGTGTATTACTGAATTTGCTTTCTATTTTGGTTTTTTTAGATCTAATTACTTGTTTGGACACTGCATCCAATTTTTTGGAACCTGAGTTCAGGTATGGCCAAATTTATGACGTGTGTACTTAAGTGCTTCTCTTAATCCACTTCTCACCGTGTTACACTGAAGGCTATTGTACGACACATAATCATTGTTTTGGAACGTGAATAAATTAGACTAATTTAAACCTAAACATATAGTTGCCATACTTAAATTCTGCTTTAATTGTAACATTTAGATCATCTCCAAAATGAAAGTTTGATTTTTAAATGCTTTAAAGTAAGACCTGTTGCTCTTTAAAATCTGACAGAATTATTACTATAAATAGAAAAGGTGTTTCTCTGTCTTCATTTCAAGAAAGGGGAGGTTACTGACTCCTTCATTTCTACTTTGTCTCTTGCCTCGACTAGGATCTCCCATATCTAATTTTTGCTAACATGCTACTGCCAAGTAGTTTTTAAAAATGCACACTGCTCGCTTCTCTCCTTAAAAACACTGAGAAACGTTACCGTGACGAAAAGTTCAGGTTCCGTGGCTTCCTCATCAGTCTTTCCGGAGTCGGCCCTGGGCCGTTTCTCCAGCCTCATCTGCGTGTACGTGGGTTACTCTGCTGTGAGCTGTCAGAACTCTTGCTTGGAGCCGCTCTGTTCTGGTCTGCTTGGCAAAAAACCCATTCCAGTAGCCTCCTCTCAGCTTGCTGCCGCTCCTAAAGAACCTTAGGTTGCCTTTAAGAATGGGCTCTGTCTGGAAAGAATACCTTTTTCTGCATCAAGGGTGCCTGGTCTGCGAGAGTAACCAGCCCTGGCATCAGCTGGCTTCCCGCTCTGCTCTTCAGCTCCATCATCACCACCCGAAGCCAAAGTGTTGTTGTCCCTCTGAGGGCTGCTGCATTGTCTTCCTGATGGTGTCCCGGCCTCCACTCATGATTGCTTATACATTTTACCCCCGAGAAGCCAGAATAGTCCCATGTATTGGGTAAAGAAGAGTATGAGTACACACACGTCGTCGTAATGATGTACATATGTAGGCTGTCGAATTCCTTTACTGGCCTCCGTATTTTACGCAGAAACAATCCCATACGCGTCTCCCACAGGCTTCGGTATGGTGTAGTCCCTTCCCATCTCTCTGACCTTCCGTTTGCTCAGTGTACTCTGCCTGCAGTGGCCATTGACACTACAGACACCCGCCACTGTCCTGCCTCAGGAACGTGCTTTGTCGCGGTTGGTGTGCATTTCTACCACTTGTTCCAGTGACAGCTGGCAGATTGCTTACAAACCTCTATTCCCTGACTGAGGCTGTGCAGAGCTCCGTGCCAGAGAGAATCTCTCAGCCATCCCCTGTGACATGGGCACACCGTTGCTCATTTGCCTCATCGGTAAAATGAGGATAATAATAGTGCAAGGTGCACAGGATTGCTGAGTGAATTACCTGAAACACGATGGTTGCGTGGCACATCTGAACTAAGTGTTTCTATTACTTTTATTAAATTTAGAATTTTGCCATTTATTTCAGAGTGCCTTTTCTTTATGACAGAATCAAGATCTAAATATTTGTATGTTGGTTTAATGTCTTTTTCTACCACCAGAATGTAAATTTATTGATGACCAGGGCCATACTTGTTTGGTCGGTACCCAGCCCAGCCAGACACTCAACACTACATAATAGATGTTCCTAAAAGTCCGGGGAGTGTGATGAATAGATTTTATAGTAGAAATGTGTCTGCCATTCATTATGAAGTGAAATAAAGCAATATGTAGAACGCGAGACTTTTGTAAAAATATGACTTAAGAGATGTTGAATATGTGTGGATGGAAAGAAGTCTGAGGAGGCTTTTCTGAAGTGATGCTTTGAGGATGGCGACCTTACGCAAGGTAGTTACACTGAGCAGAAGAACGTATGTGTGGTGTGTTTCGCTTTTCTGGAGCAAGTACAGCGTTACATGAGCTTTGCTTATTTCCATTTCTCAGTAAGTACTGCCCACCTGGTTGTCTCCTGCCTTTCGCTGAGATATCTGGAACGATTCCTCATGGATATAGAGACGTAAGTTGGAAATAGTCTTACTTTGAAGTTGTGATGTAGTTTTTTTAAGACCCTAGAATATTTAGATGTGTGTATGTTATATGCTTTTATCCTTTTATTTTTTAGGAATCTTTTTTTTTTTCTCGTAATCAGCAATGTTTTATTGTTTTTCTTCTGCAAAAAAAGTTACAGTATCAGTACTCTGAGAACTTCCCAGGTCACCTGATTTCTTGCGGAAGTAGAGTGCTGTGATTATAAATCTCAAAAGGGGATCTACACTGATGTTTTCTTTTCTTCCTCAAGTCCTCGCCACTGTGTGTGGCTGGTATACATGCAGGGGTAGTGTCGAATGTGCTGGGCGGCCACATCAGCGTTGTCATCAGCAAAGGCGTCCCGTACTACGGAGGTTCTCTGGCCAACAACGTCACGTCTGTGGTGTAAGTACACGCGCTGTGTGTGATAAGCACGCTGCAGGGAGGCGGGAGGGAGACGAGCTCAGCCTCAACAAGGTCGGTCTTAAAAAGTGCTCGTAAGTGACATTTACGGAGTAAGTGCTCACGTTTGTGTTCTCAGCATCTGAGAGTTTTTAGAAGTATAGGCCGTCTTGTACTACTTCAGCTCATTCTACTTCAAAGAAGTCATTTGGAAGGGTGACTCGTTTCTTAGTGTTCTAAGTCTTTAAAACATCTGGGCTAATACTCTAGAAATTCATTGCCAAATCCTTTATTGTGAAGATCAGAAGGGCTGTTGTGTGCCTTGTAGCCCATGTAAACCAAGATGGATTGAGGATAATTGAGGTTCTTTGAGTGTAAAGTAAATTTTGGCACAGAGGTGTAGTATTGTGATTCTCCCTCTCATCCCAAGAGGATATTGAAGAATGTATTTTCATGGGTTCTGCAGTGTTCTCCTGTTTTATAGAACATACACTAGGCATCAGAAGCAGAAGTTGACATTATGTGGAAACGCAGTATATTTTTATAAGTCTTGCTTCTTGGTGCAGTCAGCAGTATGTATTTATAACTCTTGCCTCTTAGCATGCTCAGTCCTACAGACAGCAGTGGGCCTAACTGAAGCCAGCATTTCCCCAGAGGCCTTAAGCCCGATTCGTGCAGAAGACATGAGCATGGTCCATACCCGGGACGGGGTACAGCAGGAGTTGGCAGCCTTTTTCTGTAAAGATCAAGCTAGTAGACAGTGTAAGCGTTATGGACTACGTGTATCTGTCACTTACTCTTTATTCACTGGTTTTTAACCATGTAAAAACCATTGCTAGTCCACTGGCCATACTAGAGATTACATCATACATGGGCAGGCTGTCATTTTCCCATCCCTGTTGTAAAGTCAGCAGTCCAGCTGCCTTGTGTTTCTTGTTTATAGTTTTGGGGTTTGTTTTTGAGACTGGGACTCACTACATAGTTCAAGTAGTCCTTTAATTCAGTTTTCAACCCAAGCTGACCTTCAACTCCTGGCCATCCTCCTGTCTCAGCCTCCCAAGTATTGGGATTATAGGTGTATACTACCTTGCAAGACTTTTTACTTTTGTTTTTCATTGTTTTTTTGAGACAGGGTCTCACTATGCTACCTTTCTTTTGGCTTCTTCTGCAGGATTTTATATACATCTTTTCGTTCCTTTCTCCTGTTCTACCTTTAGAAAGAACTTCTTTGTGTGTAGATTCTTTCTCTCACACTTCAACAACATGACCATAGATTACATTCCCTTATAGCATTTTGTTACATGCAAGAATATGAGCTGAGGATTATTCTTCCAGGTTGCCTGGAGCCTTCTGACCTGCTCTCCGGTGAACGCCACGCTTGTCTTATTCTTCCACTCATTCTGTCTGTTCGTTTGTTTTTTGGTTTTTTTCCTGTACTGGGAGTCGATCTCATGACCTCGTGCTTGCCAGGCAGGCGCTGTGCCACTGAGCTAAATCCCCAGCCCCTCTTCCACTCATTCTGTTCACCATTCTGCCCCTTCCTTGGAGACTGGGAAGCGGTGCTGCATTCTGGTACTGATACCCACTCTCGGAGATGGAGATACTACAGCCCTGATGCAGTCTGTTAGTAGCCAGCTCCTCTCTGTTTACTCTAGGAAACAAGCCTCTTTCTCTGAGAATAAACCTTACAACCTTTGAAAATAAACCTTGGTCTTTCACCAGAAGTTGCCATTTCACAGAAAAGTTTTAGGACAGTTTATTTTATGAAAAAGAAAACAAGTGTGTAGTAAAGGTTACAGACACATACTTGCATAGTCATATGTGAAACTCCGTATTAGATTCTTGTAGAAGAACTTGTTTATACTGATGTCAAAGATTGCTCTTTGTAAAAATGAGACTCCTTTGAAGAATGGTATCAGTTATCTAATTTTTAACCACAGAAGATTCACTAATAGGAGGAGGTCATGTATTATGTGAATATCATAAAAAATACTTTTTTCTTTTTCAGGGGACACTTATCTACAAGTCTTTTTACATTTAAGACAAGTGGTAAGCCTTTCATGGAATTTCTAACATTATAATTTGTATAACAGCGAATTTTTTTCTAACACCAACTGTTGGTCGGGCATTGTGCTAAGTGCTGGGGGTTTTTGCATTTTCTTACACCCTTCCACTAACAACACTACGACGACTTGGCTGGGGTCAGGTGTGTTCAGGGTGACATGGCATGGACGCTGAGAGGACGGCCTTTAAACTTCAGGCAGCAGAAAATACTCGTTGAATGCAGCTTTTCACTTGCCAGGCATTGTTCTCATGCTGGTGATACAATAGCAAGCAAAAGAAACACACCACCTTCATAGAGGATGTTACATATAAACAAAAACCAGAAGGAGGTAAAGGAGGACATGGCCCACTTGTCTGCTGGGTGTCTCAGAGGGCTGGAGGCGACCTCCATAAACCAGGCTGCTGCTCCTGGGCGCGTCGTCAGCCCCCTGCGACCATGGCGCTCACATGTGCGCACGGACAGCGCTCGGAGAAGAGCACACACACTCTTCTCGTCGTTCCTTACTCAGTGCCGTGTGACTGCTCACGCGCTGGGCACTGAAGGGCTCTGCAGACAACCGAGAGTAAGGGGTGCCTCTGCTCTCCGACGCTGTCATTTGCAAATGGTATGGTTTTCAGACAGAAGCATTTCTCAGAATTTCTTGTTTGCAAATTCTGCAGCGGTGACAAATATAACGGAGGCCATTTTTCCCATTAGAACACAAATGTGGCCATCTTTTCCAGAACTGCAGGACAGACTAAGTATATGAGCTGAGAGGTGCTGCTGCATGCAGCAAGGACGTGTAGGGTATGCGGTAAATACACCATTTTACAGAAGGGACTTGAACGTCTGTGGGTTTTGGTTTCTACGTGGTGATGGGCGATGGGGCCTTCGACTCAGTGCCCGTGGATCCTGAGGAGGGAGCATGGACTTGTAAGTTTCTTCAGGAAACTTCAGGAAGGAAACCCAGGAAGTGCTTGCCTAGTGGTGTAATACTTTGTAGAAAGTGGGTTTACATAGGTTCTGAATCTACATCTGGAAACCAAGCCTTTTTTTCCAGGTTGTTATGGAACGCTGGGAATGGAATCTGGTGTGATTGCTGACCCTCAGATAACAGCGTCGTCTGTATTGGAGTGGACCGACCAGACAGGGCAGAAGAACAGCTGGAAACCCGAAAAGGCCAGACTGAGAAAACCTGGACCTCCTTGGGCTGCTTTTGCCACTGATAAAGATCAGTGGTTACAAATAGATCTGAATAAGGAAAAGAAGGTTACAGGTTAAGAAACATAATTTTCTACAGTCACTGGTAATACTGATTTTGTTTGGAAACCTTGTGACAGCTAAGATTTTCATAGAAAATTAGGTCACTGAAGGTTTAATTATATGCTTCAGTTTTTGTTTACTGGTGCTGTTACTAAAGGTAGTTTTTTAATTTTTTTTTTTTTGGGAGACAGAGTCTTGCTGTATAGCTCAAGCTGAATTGACAGTGATCCTCCTGCCTCAGCCTCCCAAGTGCTAGGATTGCAAGCAAGTGGCACCACTCCTGGCCACTTGTAGTTTTGTAAAACATGGTACTGAGGATTGAACATGGGGCTTTACGTATAACCCCAGACCTTTATTTATTTGCTTTTTTTCATTTTTAAATTTTGAGAGTGTCTCACTAAATTGGTAAATTCCTCAGTGGAGGCCCTAACCTGCAGTTCTTTTTCCTCAGCCTCTCTGAGTGCTGGGATTATAGATGGGCGTCAGCATGCCTGACTGTTATCCAGTTCTTGAAAACTTTACTTTTTCATTGTAATAAAATTAATTTAAGGTAAAATTTCAGTAAAGTGATCCTCAGACATCTAAAATAATCACCTCTTACAGTCATTAAGAAAAATTTATATTTAAGAAGAATCCATTTCAGGTGCTATAAATGCCTAATGTTCTACATGTGCTAAGTGTAAATTTGATTTAGAACTTAGCAAATGGTCAGAATAATTGGTCGAGGTTGATTTAAAGAGTTTTGTTAAAAGATTTCTTTTTCTTTGGTACTGAAAATAATAGCAGTCATCACCTTTCATTTGTCCATTCACAGGAAGTCATTTTTATTCAGAATTTGGGAGATATTATGCAATCATGTGAACATTAGCTGCCAAAATAGGGTGGCTCTTTTCTTTATGTGCTCGCGTAGTTCTCCCTGTCTCTGCAAGGAAACGCCCCAAGGGTTTAGTGCCCACTGTGATGAAAACTTCCACTTAGAAATGAGCCACAGGCAGAAAGGTGTGCACTGGGCAGCCCAAGGGCTCGTGCTCTCATGCTGAAAAACTGGGACTCAGACCCTGAACACTAATGGAAGGTGTTCTGCAGGCATTGTCACCACTGGATCCACCATGGTGGAGCACAACTACTTCGTGTCTGCCTACACCATTCAGTACAGCGCGGACGGGCAGCGGTGGGCTGTGTACAGCGAGTCTGGGGCGGAGCAGTGTAAGGTAAAATGATTGCCAGCTGTTTTTTTAAGACTTCTTTTTAAATGAGCCTCTGCCAAAAGTCACGAAAATTCAGCTATATGAAGATGTGGATGTTTATCATTTTGTCTTCTGCCCTCTTCTGGTTATTTTAGGTAGTGTGAAGTATTGTCTCTATCCTAACTATGGTTAGAAAATTCTCCCTTGATTCTAGATCCCTTGTGGTGATTGTAACCTAAGTACTTGGTGACTTCTGTCACTGCATTTTTAACTGAAATTTTTGGCTACTTCATTAAGAAATATTAGAAAGCAATTTGCAATTTATTGTCTTTATAAACTTACTAATCCACCAAATAAGGGAGAACCCAGTTTGTTCCCAGAGTTCTGCTCTGTAGACAAGAGACAAACAAAAAAGATGAAGTGTTTTAAAAATTGGAGGATCTTTTCAAGATCACCCTGCTAGCTTTTATTGTAGAAAACTTGTGTTTTCCCTACCTGAAGTGTTTCTTTAACATCTAGTGATCATCACGAAATTTTGTTTCACTTAGCAAAGGTTATGAAAATGCTGGAGTGAGCCCGAGAAGATGAGGTGTGGCGAGGAGGCAGAAGCAGTCTCACCCAGACGCTTACACCTTTCACCTGCAGACGTCTCCTGGGCTGCTGGCCTGTGCTCCGTTGCAGGGATATTTAAGTGGGGAGCCCTGTCCCTGAGGCAGATAGATGCCTCCTGTCTAGAGTTGAAACTATGAGCATAATTTTCCAATGAAATTTCCCACTAACTTTGGTTTTGATTATATATTTTCAACTTTGTATTGTATGTTTCATTTGGTTATAATCTTCAATTTGTACTTCTTTCATCAATCTTTAAAGTCCCAGGAATCCTTATTATCTTTTATAGAATATAAATACTTACTCTACCATTGAAGGCCTTCTTTCCTCTCTTGTTTTAATCTTACGAACTGCATCTCTGAGGCACCTCTGTTGAAGCAGAGAGCAGTACTGTCTGTATACCTGTCTTCTGCTTAATGCTCCAGACTTGGTGATTCTTTAATTCTAGCACATCCTTACTTATTATACTTGTGGTATAATATTAATTATTTATTATTTACTATACTCATGGAAAATTTTAAAATTTAAGAATGTTCCATGCTTAATACCTACCAGCATTGAATTATAGTTCTTAAAATTATTTTGCTTCATTTTTGGAAGATAGGGATGGGGTTATAGCTCAGCGGCACAAGTGCCTGCCTGGCAAACACAAGGTCCTGAGTTTGATTTGCTAGTACCAGAAAAATAATAATAATTAGATCATTTTTGGACAATAATTTTTGTAGCTATAGAATTCTAGACTAGCACTTTCTTTTCATACTTAAATAAATTGGTCCGCTTTCCTGGCTTGTATTGTTTTTGATGAGACTTCTGCTGTCAATTTTGAATATCTTCCACAGTTCATTAATAGAGCATATAAATATTGTATGTGTTATACTTGGGTCCTTTTACATTGATTAAGCATTATACTATTTGATATGCCTAGTAATTTTTGATTGATTGCTAGTCATTATGAACTGCTTTCAGTTCATAATGTTTGATGTTATGTCATTGCTTGATGCTAGATTTTTTAAATTGTCGTTATTATTCCCGTATACATTTTTGAGCTTTATTTTTGATGCAGCTCAGCTTTTAGAAAACAGTTTGTTCTTTTTAAGGCTTGCGTCTAATTCTTGCTGGGTTGGACCTGAGCAGCCTTTAGTTCTAATTTTTCCCCACCCCTGAGACAGTACTGTTCTAAGTATTGGGCTCAGTGTCCTGTGTATTGTGAAGTGTCCCCATCTGTGTGTGGCAGCGTGAGGTAATCCCACCACTTGTGTCTGTGAGAATCTTCTGCTGTCCTTCTCCTGGTCGTTGGTCATTTCTCTGCAAGTAACTGAAGGTTGAAAGGAAAACCCTCCACGATCCTCAAAGTCAGCCTCGGTCTGATTCTCTGTCTCCCGCCCTTCGTCTCTCTCCCGCTCTCACCTTTCCTAAACTCTGCCCTGCAGGTTCTAGCTGTTTATAGCCTTGGTGTTTCTGAGCTCTGTCGCCTCAGCTGAGGCCGTCAGGCTCTGTTGGGACCCCTGCGCTGCGACCTACATTTCTCTGGGTAGTACTTGTGGGATAGCAGAGCTCGTCTCATTTGTTTGCCTTTTCTGTGCAGTTATTGCCTTAAGCTGCCTGTTGTCCAATGTCTGAGAAATGTTGTTTCATGTATTTTACTCAGCTGTTCATATTTAAGACCAAAGCATAAGTCCAGCTCTTGTTACTGTATCATACACAGAAGTACAAATTCTCACATTGAATGACATGAAACAATACTTTTTCCTCTCACATTTGTCCATCTGCTTCCTCATCTACCCCGATCTTGGGTGTACAAAGTAGAGTTAACATACGTACACAGCTCACTTTCATTGTTACTTTCTAATATTATGCCATGTCTGTATTTGGTAATGTGCAATAAGATTGAAGTCTCTAGAAGAACGAGAATTCCAACTTCCATTTCCGTTTCATCCTAATGACACCTTGGAAACCTCTCTGTCCTGGGATTCTCAACACATTTGACTATAGCACATCACTTTTACTGTTTCATAAATTGTTATCTTTTAAGATTTTTTATAAAATTGAGATTACAGTGTAAAGACCTCATAGTAATAGCCCCTATACTGACTAGTACATGCTTGTAGTACACGGTGCTTACATTTCCGTGTACGGAATTGGCACATGTATATACACGTCTTCATTCCTTGTTCACCCCCTTCTACTGCCCTTCTTTCTCCCTATAGCTCCATCTTTTGATTCTCTTTTCTGAGGGTATATATTTGTAGTGATAGTTTTTATGTACTAAAATGACATTTTGCTCTAGTTCTTGTTCTAATATAATAAGATTGCAAGTAATTGCCTTTATTTCAGAGAAATAGTTAAGGAAATCATGGAAGCTTATAAGTGTGAAGATTATTATAACTTCAAAACAAACCTTAAAAAAATTTTGAAAAAAAAACTTTTAGAAAATGTAGGATAAGCACATCTTTAGAGACTGGTAATTTGATGTGAATCAGCTAAGAAGAAATAGCCATAATATTTCGGATTAACTTGAGAAATTAAGAATTTACGTGCTCTTACCTTAGCTAATGAAAAAAAACCAAACTCTCTCTCCCTCTCTCTCTCTCTCTCTCTCTCTCTCTATATATATATATATATATATATACAATCAGTCAGTTTGATTTTATGCTAGTGTCCACTTATTGTGAGTCTTGAAAAACTGCCTAGCTGATTTGGCCCAAGAGATCAAGCAAGGCGCTTCATGGGTTGTTGGGTCCCTGTACTTCATGCTGAAACACAGGTAACGGTCACTACCCGGCCTTTACTACCGTGCTGTCCCCTGGTTCTCTGAGTCAGCTCTCTGTGCCCGGCCGATTCCATCCTAAAGAGTATCAGAATTAATGATCGGAAAACGCTTACAAGAGAGCTGGCCCAGAGTAAGGATGTGCAAAGTATTTTCTTGAAGTAGTTGAGGGAAGAAGTCACTTAAAATCATATTTTTGTCTAAGAACTGTTTATGGGATGCATTTGTAGCTGTTCCGTTATGATCGGTAAAGTAGATCACAGAATGGTGTTCTGGAGTTACTTGTCTGGTTCGGGTAGCAACAAGAAATGAAAACTGGAATAATGGGGGGCTTGTCTTAATCGAGTTTCCCAGCAGGTGGAGATATGTAACTGTCCTTAGCTAGTGTCTGTCCGCTCTCAGCCTGTTCATTGAGAAAACAGTTCCAAGAGGCACACAAGCAAAGCATTTCCAGTAAGACTTTGTGATCCACTGTTTTCTATTTTAAAAATAAAATTGAGATATTTAATCATTTGGAATTCTATAGGGCTAGAATTAAGAATTTATTAGTGCAAAAAACTGTTTCTCAGCAGCTGAAACCCTTTTCCAAAATTGCCAAATTAGCGCTCTTGTTCAATTCTTAAATCATGTTAGACTCATTTCTATATTTAGTATTTTTATTTTATAAATTTCAGTGAAAAGTTTTTTTAAATTATGATTATTTGTAGAAATTAATTCTTATTGTCATACTTCACAGATGTTGTTTAAGGCTCAGAGCAAAAAACAAAGCACATTTAAGTGGAGCAGCTTAGCTCTACCCTTGTTGATGTAAAGTCTCGATAATTGTTTTAAAGGTGTTTCAGGGGAACAAAGACTATGACCAGGACGTACGTAATAACTTTTTGCCGCCAATTACTGCGCGTTTCATTAGAGTACACCCTACCCAGTGGCAGCAGAAAATCGCCATGAAAGTGGAGCTGCTTGGATGTGCGTTTACTCCTAATGGTAAAAAGACAGTGTGTTTAACATGTTATTTTCAATGGATTATTAATTTTTAAATATAGTTTCAAAAAGTGACACATAATAATGATGTTCATATTGCTACACATAGAAGATACATTTGTGTGACATTTCAATCCGTGCATACAGAGTGTAGTGATTAGATCAAGCTAGTTGACATATGTCACCTCAGACATGACTTCTTTGTGTTGGGAACACTGAAAAATCCTTCCTACTGGGGAGTTAAGTGGGTTTTGCTATTCTCAGAGAAAGTAACGAGTAAAATGTGAGTGCTTTTGTCTTCAGTTACAGTATTTTTATAGGAATTTTTAAAAGCAAATGATTACCATATTAAAAAGTTACATATCAGAATTATTACCAAAATTACAAGTGAAAGAAGTAGCATCATTCTTGTGAGATAATATATTGCTGTACCTTTTAAAATTTAGATTCAATTTTAATAAATTTAAATCAGGTCTCATGTGCTGTAAGCACTGAAGATTAGAACCATCATTGAGGCTTATGTACCTCTCACTTTGAATTATCTACAAGAGGGAATAATTTCTCACAGTATTTTACAATAGTTTAATATTATTTTACTGCTGTGCCGCATGTGTACTTAATTCTCCATAACTGCATTAATTAAGTAATATGTCAAATTGTGATGACACCTATATGTTAGATTTCATCATCATTAATACTCTTCTTTGTAAGATTATTTTTAGATGATTATTTAAAACCTGAAAAATTTTGGTATATTTAATGCAGAATATAATATTTATACTTCTGATACATTCTCTGAGATTTAAAATCACTGCAAATTAAATACTTTAGGAAATGTTGAAGACATTTAATAATATTACTGTTTTTAACTGTGGTTTATTCAAAGGAAAATGTGTTAAATTTTCTAAACCGTTTTTCAAGGTCGTCCTCCAAAACTCACTCAGCCTCCACCTGCTCAGAACAGCAATGACATCAAAAACACCACAGCCGCTCCCAAAGTAGCCAAAGGTATGCTTGCTTCTGCTGTGAGAACTTGATAATGCCTGAATTTTTGCTATGATTTTCTCTCTATATATTTAAACATTAAGAAATAAATTTAAGCTACAGATAAAAAATTATTTTTAAAACTTTTTTCAAGGTCGTGCCCCAAAATATACTCAACCATTACAACCTCACAGTAGTAATGAATTTCCTGTACACACAGAGCAAACAACTGTCACTCCTGATATCAAAAATACGACCATAACTCCAAATGTAACCAAAGGTATGCAAATGCAAAAATGAATACTTTGTACATTGTCGTGTTTGTTCTTAGCACATGCTTTCAGGACTGTTTCCAGCTTAAGCCCTTGGTTTCTTTCCCTGCAAATGTACTTTTTAAGTCTAACACAAATGTAACCTCTGATTTTAGAGAAAAGACTGGCTGCACTATCTGTACTCTATTCTGTGATACCATATAGAGTTGCTGTTTGACCCTTTAGAGATGGCTGCTGTTGTGTAGCCTTTCTCTTTTTGTACTTCCCCTTTTTCAGCTGAACATACTGAGTGTTGGGCTTAGAAATACTTATTTCTAGAAATCACTAAAACCAAGCACTTTTTTGCCGTAGAGATGTATTAATTCAATGGATAAGGAACTTGGTGGCAAAGAGGGAAAAACGAAAACAAAACTTTTCTTTTAATTTTTTATTTTAGAGAGACAAAAAAAACAACAAAAACAATACAGAATTTCAAAACAAGATGAAAGGAAATTAACAGTGGTTGTTCTATTGCCTATTATTATCTTCAAAGGGGTTACTCCGATGAAAACTAAATACTTTCTCAAAAAAGTACTTTAACATATTCATAAAAATTTTTCATCATTTTTTCAGTTTATAATTATGACTTAAAATTGTACAAAAGTATTATAATTTACTTTCAAATTGTGTTTCTGATGAGAAAGGTAGTGTTTAAATATACAAAATATAGTTAAAATATAGTTCTTTTTACTAATTGTTTAAAAATCCAGAGTTTCAGTTGAATTCAGGGACAAAACTGCCGTGGAATTAACGTCAGTGTGGACAGATGAAAGGCGTCCTGGTTCTCGGGAAAAGCGCAGAGAAGTGCGTTCCGTGTGCCACAGGAGCTGGAATCACTCTCGTTTTCTAGAACTTGGCCTAGATCGCGGTGACTTCCTTCCGCATTCCACATGCCAGTTTCTTTCCCATGTTTTGAGGCATTTGAACAAAGATGACTTTCATTCTCATGCTTCAGGAAAAGCTAGACACAAGCAAGAAATCTGAGGCACCAAATCTCAGCATCTCCCAGAGAGCTGCTTCCGGTTTGCAGACGCGCCTGTGTGTAAGCAGACTCCCAGACGCAGGCCCGGGTGGAGGAGGAGCCACTGAAAGTAGTGCTTCACCCTACAGTCTCACTGCGGGAAATCACAGCCTCGGGTTAAAACTTCTTCCAGAGCTGGGGTCTTTGTAACTGTAAAAGGAACAGCAGAGAATGGGCTGGTCTTCTCCTTTGAGGGCCTCCTGCCTTCTTTTCTTTGAGATGGTGATGCACAGGTTTGTTACTTTTTGAAACCTTAGCAGGTAACTCTTAAGTTCCTGATTCAGTCACTGCATTCATCCAAGCCGACTGTTCCCTCCAGCCCCACACCGTGTGGAGGAAGCACGCTTTTCCTTTTCTGAATTGAGTCTTTCCTCGACTGAGTCACCATTCTTGTTTTGTGCATCTGCCCTTCTCTTTTTACGTGCAGACCAAAGTCGTGTCACGGTGCACTGCGTGCTGGCCATCTTTCACATTTCACCAGTGAACTCTTCTGTTCGCTCTCAACTGAAACTATCTTTCGCATTCTCCGTATTTTTTCGAACATCTGACTGGCAGATCTTTACTCACGTATTACTTCTCCAACTTTGCAAAAGAGTAAAAACCATTTGAGGGGAGTTTCCTTCTTAAGCCAAGAGACTTACTTGACCCGTTGTTCACGGCTTTGGTCAAGGGGCTGCTTGTGCTGCCCAGTGGTGATCACTTTGTCTGTGTCCTAGGACCATCCATTGGCTTCTCGGAGCCCTGCCGTTAGCGACTCTGCCGCCCCTCCCCTCTGCCGTCAGCCTCTTCCTCTCCTGGATACAGTGAAAGGAGTAAAGACGATGCTGCAGTTAGACTTGCCGCACTGTCTGGGTCGTAGTCCCGAGTGACTGTCAGCCAGCAGTTGCTGCTGTTTCATCTTCATGGCCAGGACGGGATTGAGGGCTGAAGGAAGAAACTTACATTCCAAGGAGCCCTTGGTCATTTCACTTTTTGTACCGGGGTCTAAGATATTTGATGTGTAGGGTGAGATAAAGATAGTAACTGTTCTCTGAGCTCCTGCCAGCTCCAGTGTTTCTTGGTTTCCGACCTACTGATAGACACTTTCTCAGTCAGCTTTATTGCGCCTAAGACTATATTGTTACCTTCCTAAATCTCTAAATATTTTGCTGTTATGACACAATTTTCAGGTGCTCAATTACATTCTCCTGTTAGGATGACACCATGATTCACTTACTCCCTGTCATCATTGGGCATTCAGATTGTTTCCTATTTTTCACTCTTACACGGAAGTTTTATCCCAAGAATAAATTGTAGCTATAGAATTACCGGCTCTCGTAAGTTTTTACACATATTTCTCCAAAATGCCGATCAGAAGCGTATACTTTATGTCACGTTTTTAAAAATACCTGATTCCTGGCACCCTCTTCAGCAATTAGCTGTTCTTTTAACTATTTGCCAACTTGATAAGAACAGGCTTTCGTTCTTGTTTTAACTCGTATTTATTGATTACTAATGAGGCTAGTGTATTTAGTGCTTACTTGTATTTTTTAATGTATTGCTAATTGATCTCTACTGATTTTTTCTATTATATTGTTTGCTTTTGACTTACAGAGTCCTATATGAATGCTTCATGTTATTACATAGGCATAAAATTCTCTTTCCTGGCCTATTTTTTATCTTTCGGTGATTTAAAACTTAATGAAAATTTTAAACATGCAGACGAAAACAAAGATGCGTCTGTTACCCTGTCTGCGTGTGGTAGCTCACGCCCATTCTTGTCTACTAGGTGACGGGTCAGCTACTTGTTGAAACAGGAATGCTAAGCAACGGTGTAACTAATCTTTCTCAGTCTTCTTCCTCATGATTTCTGCCTTTTGTCTTACTGTGCTTTAATTTTTTTAAATTTTATGCCTTTGATATTAATGAGGTTTTTAAACGTTTTTGATTTTTGTACTTTCAGATGCGGCGTTGGCTGCCGTTCTTGTCCCCGTGCTAGTCATGGCCCTCACCGCTCTCACCCTGATAGCAGTGTGCGCTTGGCACTGGAGAAGCAGGTTAGTGCAGAGGGAGTTCCCCTCGCGGTGCTGGGGTGGAGGGCGTGTTCCAGTGCGAAGGAGAAGCTAAGTGTGGAAGACCAGCTGGGGTCCGTGCCGTTCACCCGTTTGAGACTGAGAGTCATTAGAATGAAAAGCATATGTATTTCTTTCTTCTTCCCATTAAAAACTAGTGAGTTCAGTTCCCAGTTATTTACTTACTAGTACCTTTATTGTGTGAAGTTCTGCATTATACATTGGGATCTGAGCAGTGGTACGATAAGCGTCTAATGTAATAGGTATTTAGCAATTTTTACTGAAGAGAGAGACTAATTCATTTCTCCAAAATGGTGAATAGGGTTTTCTGACACAAAAAAGGAACTACCCTGTGGTTTATACGTGAAGCAGCGAAGAGAACCGTTCATATTTGTTAAGGGGAGTCCCCATACTTCACCTAAAGGAGCTGGGCTTGCCTAGAGAGAGGAAGGCAGGTGTCTTAGACTCTTCGCGGTGTTAGAAGACACCGTCGATGCGGCGACTTCCCAACAGCAAACCTTCACTTCTCACAGCGCTGGAGGCGTGAGGCACTGGCACGCTCGCTGAGCCGTGAGGACCTCCCCGTGCACAGAGGGCCTTCTTTTCTGTCCTCACGTGGTGGGAGGGGTGAGCAAGGCTCCCAGAGGCCGCGCCTCCTCGCGCCCGTGAAAGCGTAAACACAAGGATTTGGAGAGACGTGGACATGCGGAGGGTGACAGCAGAGAATACCTAAGGTGAGGGAGCTGCCTGAGGAAAGAGACAGAAAATGGGACGTGGACAGAACAGCGAGCTGTCCTTCGAGGATGGCATGAGGGAGTCCTTAGCAGCAACAGTAGAAACACAGCCCGGGTCTGAGTAAGGACGGGCTTTCTGGGAGCCTTGATTCTGTGGATGGGATAACTCATTGAGTGTGAACTACATATGATTGTACAAAGACAGCGTCAGGATGTGTGAGGGGGGAACTGGATTAAATGAAGAGGAAAAAGAGAAATGAGTTGGGAAACTGGCTTGGTGGAGACATGACACTACTTCTGGGGAAGGGAGAAGAGATGGAGGGCGATGTTTCAGAGCAGCATCCGAAGGACGCAGGAAGAGTTGTCTGCTGCAGAAGGAAGGCTCTGCGGGGGGCTGTCACTCGGGCTTGTCCAGGATCAGCAGCGATGTCATCATTTTGAGATAACACCAGGAGGGACAGGTTTGGTGGAGAACGAGGATGGCTCTGTTTATTCAGTCACCCAACAGATATTTGAATGTTCAGCTGCTGCTGTGTGCCAAGTGGTGAGCCATGTGCTAAGGAGCCCCGCAGTGAACTTGGAAGCTCACAGATCAGGACAGTGTGCAGTGCAGATCACTGTCTGCTTTGGCGTGCAGTACCAGACTGTGTCACAGGGGAGCTGGTGAAGCAGGAGGGCTCCAGATTGATGGTGTTGGGAAGACTGGGCGGAGAGCCAGTCAGTCAGTACGAGGACAGCAAAGAGGACGAGAAGGAGGAAAGGGCAGAAGGGAACGTGCGCGCGGTACGCTCAGCGCACCAAACAGCAAGGGGAAGGCCGAGGCGGCCGTGTGACTGCTGGGGTCACTGGCTGGTCCGCAGCAGAGCGGTTTGGGCCAGGCTTCCCAGCGTACTCTTAACCCGCTGCTGTCTGTGCAGGTAAAGCAAGTAAATGAGTGAACAGAAGCAGTTTTGGTGAAAACGGGTGTGAGAGTGAGGAGAGGGGAGAGGAGCTGGAGAGGGAGGCAGGAGTTGGGTTCTGAATCCATCTGGCGAGGTTTAAAGAACACTTGAACGTTGACCAGATGCCCAAAGGGAGCTGGAGTACATGCCTTGCGTTCGGGGCAGGAGGGCTGAGCTGAGGAGTTGGACCAAGACTCGTTGAAATTCCTGGTTATTAGCTTGTCAACAAAGAGTAAAGGAACAGGTGCCATCAAAGGGCTGTGGGAAGCAGGAAGGAGAAGAAATAATAAAAGCAGCCACAACTTGCTGAACCCTTGACCTATACCGGCCACTGTTCTAAGCACTCACAGGTAATGAGTCAATGGCCTGAAGCCTTTTCGCGTGAGATTTAACATATAAAAAGCTTTATACTCAACCTTTAATATTCAGGCCATTAATTTTTGTCCTAGATATATAGACTATAGCTTTCATTTAGAAAACATCGAGTTTTTAAAAACCTGACGGTAACTAGAGCAGAGGTCCTCCACCTTTTCGGGTTCCACTTCGGTAGAACGGATTTTCAGAGTGGGGAAGGGGCGGGTTTCCGGGTGATTCTGACACCTGCCAGACCCCCTCCTGTTGCGCAGCCCCGTTTGTATCAGTCCCTCCTGGTCCAGGGCCGGGGCCCCAGGGCTGAGAGACACAGGATTTTCAGGGAGAAGATTACTTAATAAGCCGTCATATTTTATCATTTATTTTCCATTCCCGTTTTTATTACTAGCTTTAACACCTCCCATCTCTTCCACAAATTTATTTATACTTCATTTTAAAACAATGAAATAGGGCTGGGGATTTAGCTCAGCGGCAAAAGCGCCTGTCTGGCAAGCGCAAGGTCGTGAGTTCGGTTCCCGGTACCGGAGAAAAACCAAAAACCCCAAAAAAAAAAAAAAAAAAAAAAATAAAACAATGAAATAATTTAAATACAGTCATGCTTTAATATGAGGAGGTTTTTAATATCAATAATAAAAAACATAGCCTTACATTAGAAATGAATGTTTTCTATTAGGAAAAATAAATGGCTTGGGCTCTTTATAAAAGCCAAATTTATGCTCTTCAACAAATAATATAGCTGCCTTACCCTTACCTATAAACAAGAGTAATTTCTAGTGCTTGCTTCAGCAGCACATATACTAAAAAAGAATAACTTCTTTCTCACTAGCCTGAACAATACTAATTTTAGTTAAATTAGATTTATACAACTAAATCAGAAAGTGTTCTTTCACTTGCTTTTTGTTTTGTTTTGTTTTGGTAAAAGCTTGTTAGCAGTAATTCTTTTTTTTTTTTTTTTTTGTCTTTTTGAGACAGGGTCTCACTATGCAGTTCAGGCTGGCCTTGAGCTCACTTTGTAGCCCAGGCTGGTCTCGAACTCACAGTGATCCTCCCGCCTCAGCCTCCTGAGTGCTGGGGTTACAGCCGTGTGCCACCATGCCCAGCTTAGCAGTAATTCTTAATGGGGTAGAGATTTCTCCTGGGGAGAACAGATTAGAATTCTTACAGGTGGACGGGGGAGAATCCCCCTTGTTGTAATTGGTGGCTCTTACCTCTCCAGAGAAGCCTGTGTGCTGCCTCCCAGGCTCTGAGAGCCGTTGTCCTGCCTCTGCCACCTGTCACTCACTGTGAGTGACAGCATTAACTTACACTGAACTCTGAAGGGAGTGACGTGTGCAGTTAAGGGCGTGAGACATTTCCAACTTTGCTTGGGCAAAGGGCTGGAGAAAAAAAGCAGAAAGTTAGAAACAAGAACAACAGAAGAGGAAATCAGGTTTTTTAGTGTGAGTTTTGTGAATGGGTTAATTTGTGAGATTTGCATTTGAATCCACAACAAGCCTACGTGGGTTGAGTCTTGTCTTTTAATCTACAGACTTCGCTTCTGTATTTCCTTTATCACTTTACTGTGGATCAGCGGTGGGTAACAAGGTAAGTTCATTGAGAGCCAGAACTTACAAGCTTCGGTAGTGGCAACTACAAAAGTTGAACGAAGTGGAGGGTTCCTCCAGGCCGATCAGCAAGTGGAAATGTGTGTTCTTGGCTAATTATTAACTCAGGTGTTCCTGCTGCAGTCTCAGAGGTTGCTACCGGAGAAGGCCCTGTTTGCTGACATTTCTTTCCGTATTTTTCCAGAAAGAAAAAAGCTGAAGGCACCTATGACTTACCTGCCTGGGACCGGGCAGGTAAGTCATGTGGGCTTTGCGTTTCTTTTCTTCTAAGGGAAATCCGTCCACTATAGGTGGCAGCAGAGCAAGAAGAATGTGTTCTCCAGTCTGCGACTCCCCCCACTGATAGAAAAGTGGCGTGCTCTTCTCCTTATCTTTCTCTTCTGCACAGTGTCTTCTAGTTAATCAGTAGCGAAGCAGAAAGTGCAAGTTTTCCTGATACACGCTGTTCTTTTCGTTGTGGAGAGCTTGTCTGGTTTGCCCTGTGTGTCTTCGTCTTCAGAGACCAGCTTTCTGTGTGCTCTGCGGGTGCGCTAAGACACAAAGGGCGGCGGTCCGGTCATGCAGTACGTTCGTGCCGCGCTGCTGTGGCGGCTCACTGGGAGGGTGCAGGAGTGCGTGGGGCTGCCCTCCCTGCACTGAGCTGTGCCATCTTCTGGATCGCTCCAGGTGGCACCAGCGGCCCCCTGACAGTGCCCCCTTTTCAAGTGTCACTGCTAGTACCAGACACTAGGGCAGAGGTAGAGCAGATCACGGGGCTGCTGGATCCCCAGGTGCATCTTGGAAAGTACTGTTTGAGAAGAGCTTATTAAAAACCATCCTTAGATAAACACTCTTGTCTGACTGCGTAGAGCAGCAGTGATTTGCTTCTGCATATGCTTCTGCATAGACAGAGATTTCTACTGTATTCTGCCCTGCACTGGGCGTCCTGTCCAAGCAGAACTACTCTTGAATAGGAAGGGTCGGACAGAGATATCCGTTATGCAAATCAGTGGTCTCTTTGGCTTGTGATCACATGAAGGTTGGTGGAAAGGAGTGAAGCAGCTTCTCCCTGCCAAAGCAGTGGAGCACGAGGAAGCCCCGGTTCGCTACGGCGGTAGTGACGTGAATCCCTTGACTCCAAGAGAGCTCAGCACGGTGCTGCAGACCGACTCCGCAGGTAACTGGTGCAGGGGGAGACTGCGTGTGTGTGCTGTAAACTGCCCTGGGGTGGCAGCATCTTCGATAGTTTTCATGTGTTACAGAGGAATTACTTTCCGTAGGTAACAGAATCATTTCTATCTTAGACGTTCTGCTCATAAATTCTGAAGGCTTTGTGTGTTACATTATTTTTGTCTTGTTTATTTTGGGCAGGGAACCGCAATAAGAGAGCAGTGAAGACAGCCTTACAGTATCCTGTTGTCTCAGTATATATTCATTTTAAATATTATATGTGAAAAGGAAAAAAATCATGCTCTTTTCAAAAACCAGCACTTATTCTAGTAATGAAATATCCCTTTTCCAGTGAAGTACTCGCTGTAAACCTAAAGAACAGGTACGCTCTACCCAGGGTTACATGAATAAAGCTTCGGGCCTGTTACTCTAAGATATACTGAGTAACATCTTTAATTTTACAGTCGGTCCTTGTAGGCGAGCAGTCCGTAGGTCACAGCGATAGCAACAGCAGTGCCGTAAATAACTGCTTGCTTTTGGCGCAGCTCGCAGCTGCCATCTTCCGTTACGGAATTGCGGTGTTAGTGAGGTAACGTTTCGTGTTTTGTGGTATCCGCAGAGTACGCACAGCCCCTTGTGGGAGGAATTGTGGGTACCCTTCATCAGAGATCGACCTTTAAACCAGAAGAAGGAAAAGCAGCAAGCTATGCAGACCTGGATCTGTACAACTCCCCGGTGCAGGAGGTGTATCACGCTTATGCTGAACCGCTCCCAATCACCGGGCCTGAGTATGCAACCCCGATTGTCGTGGACATGTCAGGACACGCCACAGCCTCCGCTGCTCTACCCTCCACGTCCACTTTCAAAGCTACAGGGAACCAGCCTCCCCCTTCAGTGGGAACTTACAATACACTTCTCTCCAGGACTGAGAGCTGCTCCTCCGCCCAGGCCCAGTACGATACTCCTAAAGGTGGGAAGCCAGGCCCGGCCGCCCCGGAAGAGCTGGTGTATCAGGTGCCACAGAGCACACAGGAAGTATCAGGGGCAAGAAGGGATGGGGAGTGCGATGTTTTTAGAGAAATCCTTTGAAGATGCTGCTGCTTTTTACAGAGCATCAATTTAAAGCACATGCCTTTAAAAACACGACCAGTGGTGGTAATATATAGAATGTTATTACGTATCTGTCACTGAGGTGGGGAATGTGGCCAAGGTACAGGAAACTGCTTATCTTGCCGTCTTGTTTAAAGGTGTTACTGTGGCGCAGTTACCGCTTGCCTGTTAAGTTTTCAGCAACTTGTTTATCACTACTGTAAAACACTATTTTTAATAGAAAGAGATCCCTGCAGTGCACTTCAGAGAAACTGCAAGGCACTGAGTATCTATTACCAGTGCTGCAGGTACGTTAGTGAACTCGAGTGGGTTCCGTAAGCCTGATGGGCGATACGCACGGTACTGTTCTTGAAATACCTGATGGCTTGAACTTCTCCTTTCGTGAAAGGTGGGTACTGTTATATTTGCCTCCTTTTCTATTCCTGTGTTGCATCCTGGATCTTTAATAGTGATGTGGCACTGTTTTGATTGTAGCCGTACACATTTCTGTCTTAAGGAGGTTGCTGGCTAGGAAGCTGACTTGTCACGAGCTGGGCCACTAACTTGTCGCTTGCTGACACTCTAAGAGCTTTAGCACCTCACGGTACCGGACCCGGGCTCCTCCCTGCTCCTTCCACCCGGGGCCCTCCGGCTGGCCCCATTCTTGTTTATAAAATGTTCGTATTTTTTTGTAGGTAATGCTTGTTCTATCAATCTCATGAAATCAGACCCTGTGATATCTTTAAGTATGTGTCTCTTTTTAGAAACCAGAAAAGGAATTTCAAGTTTAGGAAAGATGTAAAGAAGATTCTCTTTCTACACTCAGAAGTTATATAAATTACCTTGAAAACCAAAAAAAAAAACGTGACTGGAGTTGTCCTCTGGTTTTACACACACACACGCACACGCACCCATACTTCTTGTCTCAAGGCGTTTTTTATAATTTTAGTCAAATAATTTTAATTTCAGGTTTCGTCAGTAAAATTATTGTAAGAAGTAGAAGCCCAGTGTGTACCCTTCAGTTGGATGTGGTTGTGCCTTCTGTGTATAGTAAGAATTTGGAGTAGTTCTTTGTGTCAGACCTCGGGAACAAGCGTAGTAGTAGCATCTTAGCAAATGAAGTTGGTATCTCCTAGCAACTCCTAGTCACCAGTTGTTCATGCCCTGCCCAGAACTTGTTTTAGATGGGGTGAATGAGAAATCGTATGCAATTATTTATTAGCCTGTAGTACAAAAACCATGTCTAAACATCTTAGACTGGCAAGACAGCGTAAGTTCACTGTGTAACAAAATTACATAAACCTGACGTCCTCTTTTCCATGAATCTGGGCTGGTAAGACTTGATGTATAAACTACACTTTAAAATGAGTGCTTGTTCGCAGTCCATAATGTTTACATTCCTTGTGCAGAACTGGTTCAGGTGCAGATGAGAAAATCAGATTAGAAATAAAGAGTAAACGAGTGAGTAAGGAGATAGATCTTTCTAAGCTGTGCTTCCCTTTGAGGTTCTAGTCATCTCTTCTGACTTCTGCCACCAGTTAGTTTTGTTTCCAGAATTCACTAAATTTGAATAAAGATGAACAGTATTCATTTTTCCTGCATCCATAGGTATATCAGTACTATATTCTAAAAAATGCATCAAAAAGGAGTTATTTCTACAGCTTACCTGCCTTCTCCTAGTATTTTGTTGGTTTTATTCACATTTGCTTTCCTTTTTCAAACTTTGAGGCACAGTTTCAGTCATTGAAAAGTCAATGCATATTTTGTTTCGAGATGATTGAAACAAAAAGCATAGCTGTTGGGTTTTTATTAAACCACATATGAACGTGTGAAGCACATATATTAATGCAGTTTGCTCCTTTCAAGTGGGAACAGAAGAAACCAATTGCTTTATTGTTTGTATTCATCCTTAGTACACAGAGAATGTACTTTTTCTCAAGTTATGAACCTGTTTAAAGCTTTAAGAGATGTTTTTCATGATTTTCATTTTCCCAGAGAAACTTGCTATTTTGTCTAATTCTGTGACCTGATCACTTTTCCCTGAAGTTTGCTTTTTTTGTAAGTAAATTTTCTGAAATAATGCAGTTTTAACACTTCATATTACCACTGTGCTGTCCTTGAACTACCAATGGTTTTAATAAAATACCTAGTTTTTACTATTTTTATATATTTTACTTTTCAGAAGAAGAGCTGAGCCTGATTCAAATGGTTTTTCTTGTTTTGTACTTTTTAGTTTTTTCAAAAAGTATTTTTATGTTTGATATATATGATATTATATATATATATATCAGACTATATATATAAGCATACACACACACACACACAGCTTTGGAGACAATCAAGTAACTGAAAATGTGAAGATAACCATTTTTTGACAGAAGTCTCTTGAATGTTTATTCTTCGCTTGAAACATTTTAGACTTTAATCACCGTGGTTTGGTTTTTGCGTTTGGGTTTTCTTTTTCCACAGTGCAGTTACAGAAGTAGAATCAGAAGTGCTATGGCAAGTGTGGCCACTGGAGGTTTCCTAAAATTATGCTGATTTGGGCCGTCACTTGATTCGAGGAAGCAGCACCGTAAATGATACTGTTACTTCTGATTATCTTCTATTAAACGCTGTAATCCTAAATCGATTCTGTTGTATGTGCCAGGACTAGCCAGCACATGTTCATGTTTCACTATTTGCACTTTGCATTAAACAGTGGGTTTATTCGCTGATGAAAGTGGTCCAGGGAGAGAATTTATGCAGAGTTAAAAGTCCGTCATACATACCTTGCCACCCCCGAGGGCCCAGGGCTGGGGAGCAGGCTGAGCGCGGCTTCAAAGCTGTGGAGTGGTAACGCTTGCGCTGCTCTGCCTCGGTTCTCCACCGCCACTGGGAGAGGAGAAGGACTGTCAGAGACGCCATGTCAGGTGAGAGCAGAAAGAGCCGGTACGGGTGTGGGGCCTGAAAACTTTTCCTTTAACTCTACCAAGACCAGTCTCTGCCCAGGAGAATATTAGCTCAGCCTTTCGGTTTTGAACTTGAAGTCCCTAAACTGCAAAATCCAAGTATGAGTTGGATGGTTATTGAAATACTTTCAGGTCAACTGTGGCACCAGTTCTCATTGAATCCAACTTACGACTAGTTTTCTTTTTGGCACTGGGAAAGAACATGTATTGAAGTAGGTATTAGAAGTAAACATGGTTTGGGTGTCAGTTGTATTCTCCTAGAATGTACTTTCCTTACCTCGGCATGTACTGTAGTCACTCAGTATTTGTATATGTTGCTAGAATTTACATTGTATAAATAGTGGGATTTTAATGTATTCTTCATGTTTTTAAAAATTGTGTATATGTGTCTTGCTCGGATTATTTGGCTTAAATAAACCAGCCTTGAAGTTTGTAGATTTTTGTCATTAAAATCCCAGACTTCCCCGTTTTCACAGTCCGCACCCTCATGACCGTGACTGTAGGGCAGCACTGGAGAACACCAGTGTTGTTCCTTCCCTCACCTCCCCCGCCCCCCGCCCTGCTCAGCACCGTCGTTGCTCGAGTCTGATTTACTTGTCAACTTCAGCAGCCAAGCTGCGGGCCATGAGTGGCGGGGGGGGGGAAAAGTCTCACTGTGCAGTGCAGATCCTAGTCTGGTATCTACCTCTGTACCTCGGGGTAGTTAGAAGGTCAGATGAATTGGGGCATCCATGTCGTTAGTACCTCCCCTGGGTGAAAACACCTACTGGTTCTCTCCCCCTTGTACTGCCTTCAGGTATTTCCTTTATCCCTGCTCTGATCCTGTGCTGAAATTTCACCCTGTATACTTCTAAGGACGTGATTGGTTGTCAGTTAACACCAGCATTTCCCAATTAAAATGTGTGAAAAACAGATTTTTCATGAAAATACAAAGTTCAGAAGCACCTTGATTAAGGGTTTACTTATTTTGTCATCTTTAACTTTGCTATTTTTACTTTAAACTGAGACATTCACAGTTTAATGAATACATTAATCCAGGGGAAAAGTGTTTTAAGAATTTTCTTCTTGAGCTCATGTAGGTTAGCTTCTGGTTACTTCTCTCCTTGCTGAGACGAAATACCCAACAGCCAGCAGTTCAGGGAAGAAAGCGTCATTTGGCTACAACCTACAGTTCGTAGGCTTGAGTTCGTAGTGGGCTGGCTCCAAGGCAGGGTGGCATGGCAGAGGGACACTGGGGGAGGAACCGTTCACGTCGCGCAGAAGGCAGCAAAAGCAAGGGAGCGAAAAGCCCCTTTCTGGCCCTGTACTGTATCCAGGCTACCTGTCCTTACAGCAGGTAGTGCTTCTTACCTTGAATCAGTCCCAGCATCACATGCCACATGCAGCCATCTCTGAAAGCCGCTGACTGCATGAGGCCTTGGGGTGACATCAGACCCACAGCATTTGCGTTTCTTGTGATGTCCCCGTCTGCTGAGGTCACTTTGTGGTGAGTGTGTACATGGGATACAAGTTTTTACAGCATTCACCATGTGGAGAGGTGTGTCCACATAGCTCCTCCCCCAATCTGCCACCAATTTTCCAGTCACATGGCTTCCAAGTTCTTGACCATGTGGCCAGACCACAGAGTACAGCCCGTGAATCAGTGTACAGTCACGCATCTGGCCATTTCTCCTTCCAGACAAAATGTACTACCAAGCGCACTGCCCAAAGTGCTGCCCACTAGGAAGGCTTCCCTTCACCACTGACCTTCAGGGATGTCTTAGGGGCTGTAATGCTGCAGCTGTCCACTTGTGGGCGGTGTCCGCGTAAGATGCAGAACTATCTGTACACCAAGCCCTCGTTGTTTCCTCTGACAGCTGATCGTGTGGTACAGCCCACGAGAACACAGTGCGTGCCGGGGAACAAGGCAGTACTGCAGGAGTAGGAGCCATGGGCATCTGGTAACTTCATGTAACTTGTACCTTCTGGACCTGCTCTGGCTAAATCACATACATCATTTCCATTCAGTGACAGACTTGCTCTGCACGTCCAACCTTACGACTCAGTGGATCACGTAGTACCCCGGATCAGGACAGGCAACTCGGGTCACATGGGAACCTGGTGTTCCATAGTCAACCGTTCAGTTCCCATTAAGGCCCAGTAGCAGGCTAGGGACTTTTTCAAAGCGAGGGCAGTCTGCCGGTGATAGCAGAACCTTGCTCAAGTTCTGAAGGTCTTCCCTGCCATTCACCCCTACCTGCCGGTGACACTTCAGGTACCACTGGCTCTGCTGGATCATATGGCTCCAGTGGCAGACCTATTGCAGAGCCGTTTCTTGTTCTGGGCCACACTCACAACTAGCAGCTGAGTCACTCAGTAATTAGGCCAGAGTAAAATATCTTGGTGAGGAATGTAGTACCTCCACAATCCAAACAGACCTACCACTGTGCCTCTTTTCTGGTCGTAGGGGAAGCCCGATGCAAAAATTTACCTTTTACCTTAGAAGGGATATTTCTACATACCCCACACCACTGGATTCCTAGCAGTTTCACTGAGGTGGAAGGACCGTGAATTTCTGTTGGATTTATTTCCCATCCCGTGGCTCGGAAGTGCTTTACTAACAAGTCCGTAGTGGTTGCTACCTCCTGTTCACTTGGTGCAAGCAGCGTAACACTGTCAGTGTAATGGGCCCGTGAGAGGCCTGTGAGAGGGAGGATTACGATCCCTGCAAACTGAGCTGTGGCACAGGGCTGGAGCATTAACATAACCCTGAGGCAGGACAGTGAAGGTGTATTCCCAGCTGAATGCAATTTGTTTTTGATAGGCCTTACGGATAGGCGTGGGGAAGACACATTTGCCGAATCAATAGCTGCATACCAAGTACCGGGAGATGTGTTAAACTGGTCAAGCAAGGATACTACATCAGGTTCATCAGCTGCAACTGGAGTCACCACTTGCTTCAGTTTATGGTAATCTACCATCTTCCAACACTGATCTCTTCTGCACAGGCCATTGGGAGAATTAAATGGGGATGTGCGGACCACCACCCCTGCATCCTTCACGTCCTGGGTAGTGGCACTCATCTCTGGAGTCCTTCCAGGGATGTGATACTGTTTTTGGTTTACTATTTTACCAGGCAAAGGCAACTCTAATGGCTTCTATTTGGCCCTTCCAACCATAACAGCTCTCACATTACAGGTGAAGGAACTCATGTGAGAATTCTGCCAAGTCCTAAGTATATCTGTCTTACAAAGGATGGGAGAAAGATTGACCATATACGTTTTCCATGCACAACAACCCTTCCCAAGGGGGGCCTGGCATCCCCTGCATGCAAGGGGTTCTGGATCTGTAATTGGCCCTAACCTGGGAACTGGTTGAGTGGTGGATTCCGTTTCCATGGATGTGAAGTAGTTTTCTGTTCATTTGCCCTTACATTTTTTTTTCAATTACATAAATCTAGTGAAAGTGTTGTAGGCTTCCTCTCTGTTACACTTTTGGGAAAACTGGCTAATCAGCCAAGGCCGCAGGTCTACCTGTGTCAGACCATTCTGATCGTTGTTCTTCTGCTGTCTTCGGCGATTAAGTGCTGCCCCTGTGACCTGCCCTCTGCCATCCAGTCAAACCCACTGCCCTTAAATTTCCCAAGGGAGTGTGATCCCCCTGTAAGGTCTGGCATGCAGAGAGGAGCAGTGACAGGGCTCTTCGAGGATGCCGGTGCTCCCCTCCAATCTGTTTCTCAAGGTCTTAGTGAAGGGTGCATTTTCTGGGTCATCCCTGTGCAGTGGATTAGGTTTAACATGACATCCACTCCACCACTCCCCTTTCCTCTGGATCCCCTCATCAACGGTAAGCATGGACGAGAAGGCGTCCCTAACTCGGTCACAGCGGGCCATCTTTTCATACTTCAGCCTCCTCGCCAAGTAAACTAAACACCTCTCTACTCCATGAGCTGCAACTTTAAATTCAAAATCCCTGCTTAACAGGCCTAGGAGCAACAGCCTGATCCAGGTGTATATTTTTGCCACCATTAGCCCACACCCATTTGTAAACAATTTTGAAGTTTTTAAAGTAATGCAAAGCGACCAGACTTTAATAATTGAATTTAGTCATTTACTCATTCAAAATTGTATGTTTTGCCTATTTCCTTTAACTTAAAAAATAAAAGCAAAAAACACTGTCTTCCTTCTACCAAATTATTACTAATCACATTCATGGTTAATTAACTACAGAAGGAAGAAACTGAATTAAAGTAGTATGACTTCCACAGCCCAGGGGTTACACTTTGCTACAGCAAGGTGTAATCACAGGACACCTCCTGTTTACATTAACTTCTCCGAATGTCACACTGCAGTAAATTCTCTCTGCTTCGGAAATCACATTCTTTGAAAAGTCTAAGATGAAATAACTGTAAGATGTTTTTAAAAAAAAGACCTCAAAAACTTATCTGAAGAACACAATGTAATCAAAACTTTTTTCCCTGATAATTAAACATTTCTTGGTTTTCATAAATATATTCACAGAGATTAAACTGGTGGTTATGAATCACCAGGCAGCAACAGATTTAATATACATAATTATTTGACAAGTCCATCCAACATATTTAAAAATAAACTAAAAATTCCAGTATAAAAATAAAATACTGTCAGTATAATCTTCTGAGCTTGTAGGGTCAATCTTCTGTCAAGTTGATCACGAAATTTTTTTCTATAATGTCCTTTAAAAAGAGCTGTTCCGCAGTCACATTGTGATACGCATTCTAGAGAAGAAAAAAATAGATTACCATCTGTCTATCCCAATCTCAAAATACTAATACAGCGACAGAATATTCTGTACCTTAAAAAATTCTATACTAACTTAACTCAAAAGTTAAGTCAAATGAATACTGTTACCTTCCTAATGTCTTTACCTATTCTTGTGTAAAAACTTCCCTTAAAGCCTACTCCCTCTTAAACTATCATTTAAAAGGCTTCTCTTCAGGAACCTTGAATTGTGGTATAAATCTAGAGATCTCGAAATTTTAAGTCAGAATGGAATGTCCATAAAAGCAGCACCTAGAACTCAAAATTTAGAAAAATAAATTGCCCTGGGGATGAGAAACTACTATAAAGCATGGTTCAGGTTAAGACACGTGTTTTAAAAATTTGGGGGCCAGAGATACAGCTCAGTGGTCAAATGTTTGCCTGGGTTGTGCAAGGTCTTAGTTTAGATCCCCAGCACCATAAAAATAAAAAATAGTAATTCTCTATTGTTAGATATCCTGTTTTCTTGGGAAGTTGTTTTAATGTCCCATTCTTTATGTCACTTAAGAAATTGTAAAAATAAAAGAATGAAAACATATTAAACAGATATCCATTAATGTGACTCTTGAAATACTACAAGTACTACAAGAAAAGTAAGGGCTGAGAATAAATGAGCATTTTAAGGCACCCAACTCTTGAGCTACTCAAGGGTTTCTCTTATACTGAGGAGAAGAAGGGAGGTTGGAGGGACAAAAGACAGTATTAAAATCCAACCCAGATTATACCCCTTTCTCAGCTTATGCAGTCTTTTGGAATGAAAGGATCTGATTTCATGAAATGTCATATACTTTACAGCAAATCATTTATAGTTGAGTATTAAAAATGTGCAGATAACATTTAAACCCTATCACCTGTGTACCAGTAATCTAATAACCAGAAACATGGGAAACTCCTTCCTATTCAATTAAAATCCTCAGGGTCAAATTTACCAGCACTGATCTCTACTCCAGAGAAACATGATCAGTGAGAAGGTTTGTAACCCTTTCAGACAAAGACTGTCTTACGGGCTTACCCTGTTCTCGACCCCTGGAGGCGACCTGTGGCACGCCTGCCACAGCCAGCTGTTCTCCC